CAGGCGTCGTGATGGGCGCCTTAGTCCCAGCTACTTGGGAGGCTGAGGCAAGAGACTTCCTTAACGCTGAAGCCCAAGAGTTTGAGGTTGCTGTGTGCTGTGACCCCATGGGACTCTACTCAGGGCGACAGCTTGAGACTGTCTCAAAAAAACTTTTTTTTTTTTTTTTTTGCACATCACCTTTTTTCTGTCCGTGAAGAAAACAAAGACAAGTAATTAAAATAGAAAAACTTGGGGGCAGCGCCTGTGGCTCAGTGAGTAGGGCGCCGGCCCCATATACCCAGGGTGACAGGTTCGAACCCCGCCCCGGCCAAACGGCAACAAAAAATAGCCGGGTGTTGTGGCTGGCGCCTGTAGTCTCAGCTATTCGGGAGGCGAAGGCAAGAGAATTGCTTAAGCCCAGGAGTTGCAAGTTGCTGTGAGCTGTGATGCCACAGCACTCTACCGAGGGCGACAAAGTGAGACCGTCTCTAAAAAAAAGAAAAGAAAAAAAATAGAAAAACTTGAGAGCACTTAAAGGTTTGGGAAATGTTTTTGTGCACGCAGCCTTATTTTATTGCCTCAACCTTACAGATAAAACAAGATAAACAGATAAGCAGACTCCCTCTCCGCCGCCTCCTGCCTCACTGAAGCATTCACAGGCTGTTTGTGCTCTGGGTGTTTTGCCGCCATCCGGTCACTCACCACCGCGCGACAGCGACTAGGGTGCCTTTGGCCCCACGCCGCCTTACGTGGGGGGTTACCAAGGGCCGTTTGGTCTTCGAATGTCTAAAGCTCTCTAAGGGCTCTCCTGGACAGGGCTCTTATCCTTCTCTCCGAGGCTCCGCTTTCTTCTCCATACGTGAATTCCATCCCCCTCAAGCCCGCCGCGTACCCGCGACGCACCGACTTCACGGCAGCCAGGGCACCGGTTTCCCGCCCTCGACATAAGTACGCATCCCTGGCGCAGGGCGGGCGCGGAGGAATCCGCAGGCTATTGAGGACGGCCCATTGCCTAGCTCTCATTGGGTAGCCTCTGCCTTTCCCCGCCTCAAGGGTTTGTTTTCTCGGTTTAAACTTGGTCCTTCTCGACTCCCAAGCACAGTCCTCTCTCCACCTACTAAACCCCTACCCCAGTTATTCTAGGTTCCTTGCACCCCTCACCTAGCTCCGGTCTTGGGAGAGAATGGGCGCGCCTAGCCCGGGTGCGAGCTTTGAAGGGACTGGCCCCTCCTCCTGCTGCAACCCCACCCACCGGGCTCCTCTTCTTGGTCTGCCCGGCGCAGTCCTCTGTCACAGAGCTCCCCCGCACCTGTCTCGCCAGCTGCTTCTGCGCCCCTCCCTTCCAACCACCGCTCGGAAGTCCTAGGCGCTCCGCAGCGCCGGCCGCGCGCTGAGGGCATGCGCTCTATGAAGGCTCTGCAGAATGCGCTGCAGCGGACCGGCAGTCACTGCCGGCGGGGAGGCTGGGGTCACCTGAGCCGGAGCCCCCTCCTTGGCGGGGGTGTCCGGCAACTCCTCAGTGAAGCAGCCGCACAGGGCAGAGAGACGCCGCACAGCCACCAACCACAGCACCGGGATCAGTAAGGGTCTTGAGACAGGGGCGGGGACAGGCACGCTCCCACTCCCACTGTCTTCTTCGCTGTGTTCCGGTCCCTTTCCCCAGGAAGTACCTCTCTTCTCCCTCTCCTCGCTTACTAGCCTGCCTTTTCCTTTAGATTGGGGCTTTGGGTCCGCCACTCTCAGGCGGTAACGTGTGGTCCTAGAAAGGGCGTTGGGTAGGTCGGTGCCCGGGATGGTGCCTAAGGTGCGCACTTAACTGGGAGCGCAGCTGGGTACAGAGTGTTGCTTGGTGTACGCGTCTTGAGTGCTGTACCGTGTGCACGCTCGCCTTTCCCACCATCCTCACTCACCCTCCCTTCCTTCCCGGGTCCTCGAGTGTATTCTAGGGGATGCATGGGTATGGAACAGCTTCCTGCCTCAAGTCCAAGTGTACTTGGGTCTGTGTCCATGTGGCATGTCTGTTTGAGTCTGGGTGTCCTCAGCAGGTTTTGTGTGCTGCGCATGTATTATTGGTGCGCAGGTACGTATGTAAGCATACTCCCTAATTTGTAGAATAAAAGTGGTTTTCCAGATTGGTTGTTGAGTGGGGAGGATAATTATAATGGAGTAAAAATCAAACTAGAGCCATCCCAAATTAGAGCCAGTGAGAGCCGTTATTTGTGCTGCTGTGGCTCCATGATTTAACAGGTTCTCTTCCCTTTGGCACTTCTTGTGCTCAGAAGGTGGAATTTTTCTCTCCCCGACCACACAAGAACGTTTGGTGGCTGAGCCCTTTTTTCTTCCAAAAGACAGAACGTGCTGAGCAGGAAGTCCTGTCCTTCCCAGAGGACCAGCATAGACACTGTCCAAGTAGCCCTGCCCTGTTGGGCCATCTCCCCCTATGCCATAACCCTTTACCTGATGACCCTCAGAAACATATGCACACCACGATAAAAGTACCCAGCTGACACAGCACTACCTCACTACTTCTTAAGTCCTGTCCTGAGAGGTAACAGACCAATAGGTATTTTTTTTTATTAATAATCATTATTACACAGTACTTTTCCATCAGGCTCTTCTCAAAGAGATATAGGACATTTAAAGGATAAGACTTCTCCCTCCTGTTCTAGTCTTCTCCTCAACTTCCTCCCAAATAATGGGAGAGAAATGGTGGTGGGATAGAGCAAAGGCTTAACCTTCCCACCTCCTCAAGGGGTGGGGAACTAGAAGTATCCCTGGTCCCCAGACACACTGTCTTACCTGGTGGAGTAGGGTGATGGAAGTTTTCTTAGGGGACCTTGTTTCTCCTGCCTGTGGCTGCCTGTGCTCCAGGGAACCTCCTGGTAACTGTCTTGGGCTGATGATCTCTGGGCAATGGAGAGTGATATGCTCTGGAAGTGTGACACCATGAGGAGGAGGGGTTTCTGTGTTGTGGGGAGAAAGGAGGGCAGTAAAGAGGAAATGCTTGTTATTCAAATTGCTCATTTGTTTAATATTTACCTGTATTATATTTCTGACTTTATAAGAAAAACAAGATAAATACAGAATATCAAGAAGAAAATGAAGATCTCAATATTAGAGATAACCAAATTTATGTTGTGATGTAATCATGTATATCCTGTATATGTAGGTGATTTAACAAAAAATGGGATCATAGCATTCATATTCTTTGGTAACCTGTCTTTTCCATCTATGGACAACTTCTAATATTGAATATGTGAATGTATGACATTGTCATTTTTCTTTTTCAGTTTTTGCTGGGTTTGAACCTGCCCCCTCCGGCATATGGGGCTGGTGCCTTACTCTTTTGAGCCACAGGCACCACCCAACATTGTTATTTTTAATAGTTGCAATTTTTCCACTTTAAAAGATTCCATTGTATGAGGAATCAATTAATTTTACTAGTCTTCAATTTGGTTATTGCATACTCTTATGCACGTATTCAATTATTTCTTAGTGTAAATTCCTAGGAAATTTTGCCCCCCAGAGACAATCCGATGTCACTGATATGTTGTTTGGCCTTCCATAGCTATTTTATGCATATAATACATGCTGATGTTATTTTAATATAAATGATGACATTGTTCTGAACCTTGCTTTTTTTTTCTCTCTCTCAACATTATGGTGGTGCAGTGCCTTGTGCCTATAATCCTAGCACTCTGGGAGGCCAAGGCAGGATGATCCCCTGAACTTAGGAGTTTGAGAGCAGCCTGAGCAAGAGCAAGAGCCCATTTTTACTAAAAACAGAAATACTAGCCAGGGGTGATGGCAGGTGCCTGTGGTTCCAGCTACCTGGGAGGCTGAGGCAGGAGATCCCTTGAGCCCAGGAGTATGAGGTGGCTGTGAGCTAGGCTGAGGCCATGGCACTCTAGCCTGAGTGACAGAGTGAGACTCTGTCTCAAAAAAAAAAAAAAAAAAGGCCAGACGCAGTGGCTCACTCCTGTAATCCTAGCACTCTGGGAGGCCGAGGTGGGTGGATTGCTTGAGCTCAAGAGTTTGAGACTAGTCTGAACAAAAGCAAGACCTCATCTTTACTAAAAATAGAAAAACTGAGGCAAGAGGATCACTTAAGCCCAAGAGTTGGAGGTTGCTGTGAGCTATGACGCCAAGGCACTCTACCCAGGGTGACAGTTTGAGACTTGGTCTCCAAAAAAAAAGAACATAATGTTAGTGATCAATCCATATCTGGGTCAAAGAATATGTAATTGTTGTAGACTTGTGATATATTTCAGTGTTGTGGCAATATTTCCTGTCTTCCCTGAGCTTCTAGGTACAGAGACCTGCCTTCAAAGTGTTTCTATGTACTTTCCTTTTTTTTTTTTTTTTTTTTTTTTTTTTGAGACAGGAGCCTCAAGCTGTCTCCCTGGGTAGAGTGCTATGGCATCACAGCTCACAGCAACCTCCAACTCCTGGGCTCAAGCAAGTCTCCTGCCTCCGCCTCCCAAGTAGCTGGGACCACACGTGCCTGCCACAATGCCTGGCTATTTTTTGGTTGCGCTGTCATTGTTGTTTGGCGGGCCCGGGCTGGATTCGAACCCGCCACCTTGGGTGTATGTGGCTGGCGCCTTAGCCACTTGAGCCACAGGCGCAGAGCCTACTTTCCTTCTTGAGTAATAGCTCAGATAGCTTTTTTCCCTCCTCTCCTTCCTATAGCCACTAGCTTCATTGTGACAATTAAATTTCCCCAGAAACAGAATAACTCCTCCCTTTTCTTTTCTTTCTTTTTTTTTTTTTTGCCGTTTTTTTTGTTTGGCTGGGGCTGGGTTTGAACCTGTCACCTCCGGTATATGGGGCTGGCGCCCTACTCCTTGAGCTACAGGGGCTGCCCAACTCCTCCCTTTTCGAATGTTATTCCTGGTCCCATATACACGTCTAATGTATGCCAAGTTACTTGAGAATCATTTTATTTTTTAATGTGCTATTTCAATAGACAATATAAATTTGGGGCATAAACACAGTCTGGCTGGGCAGCGCCTGTGGCTCAAAGGGGTAGGGCGCCATCCCCGTATGCCAGAGGTGGTGGGTTCAAACCCAGCCCTGGCCAAAACTGCAAAAAAAAAAGAAAAAAAAAAAAACACAGTCTGGCTATGTTCCCCAGGGTGGTCTTGAACTCCTGGCTCAAGTGATCCCCCTGTCCTCACCCTCCCAAAGTCTTGGGATTATATGCATGAGCCACCATGCCCAGCCTCAAGAGATAATACATTCATCTGGTTCACAATCCAAAACATACAAAAGATGAATAGTAAAAAAGTAAGGCAGTGCCTGTAGCTCAGTGAGTAGGGCACCAGCCCCACACACCAAGGGTGGCAGGTTCAAGCCCGGCCCTGGCCAAACTGCAGCAAAAAAAAGTAGCCAGGCACTGTGGCGGGTACCTGTAGTCCCAGCTACTCAGGAGGCTGAGACAAGAGAATTGCCTGAGCCCAGGAGCTGGAGGTTGCTGTGAGCTGTGACTACACGGCACTCTACCGAGGGCAAGGCTCTGTCTCTTAAAAAAAAAAAAAAAAAAAAGTACTGTTCCCACTCCTTTTGCTCAGCACCTACTTCATTTCCCTAGAGGGAGATGAGTCAATCTTACATCTTACCCATTTCTTTCATTTTTTTTTTAAATCCCAGAAACAGAATTTCCTTCTTTCCTTCTGTGCCCAGGCTAGAGTACAGTGATATGATCATATTTCACTGCAACCTCCAGTTCCTGGACTTAAGTGATCTTTCTATCTTAGCCTCCCGAGTAGCTGGAACTATCTGCACATGCCAACATACCTGGCTAACAACTTTTCTTTCGTATTCCCCACTATACTCCCACATTCCAGTTATAACTTGTAATATAGATGGCATGCACCATCACACCCAGCTGATTTTTCTATCTGTTGTAGAGACAGGGTCTTCCTATGTTGCTCAGGCTTGTTTTGAACTCCTGGTCTCAAGCAATCCTCCTGCCTCAGCCTCCTGAAGTAGTAGGATTACAGGTGTGAGCCACCACATCCACCCAGCCTTACCCATTTCTTATATGTCCTTCTAGAAATATTTTGTGTCTTCTGAATAAGCAAAAACATACATATGTTTCCCTTTTAAACATAACTTCTTTTTTTTGAGACAGAGTCTCACTTTGTCACTCTAGGGAGAGTGCATGGCGTCACAGCTCACAGTAACCTCTAACTCTTGGGCTTAAGCAATTATTTTTCCTCAACCTCCCAAGTAGCTAGGACTACAGGCACCCGCCACAACACTGGGCTATTTTGGGGTTGTAGTTATCGTTTTTGTTTACCTGCCCCAGGCCAGGTTCAAACCCACCTGCCTTGGTGTATGTGGCTGGTTCCCTAACCACTGAGCTATGGGTACCGAACCTTTTTTTCTTTTTTTTGAGACAGTCTCATTTTGTCACCCTTGGTAGAGTGCTGTGGCATCACAGCTCACAGCAACCTCACACTCTTGCCTCAGCCTCTCAAGTAGCTGGGACTACAGGCACCCACCACAACGCCCAGCTATTTTTTTTTGAGACAGTCTCACTATGTTGTCCTTGGTCGAGTGTCATGGCATCACAGCTCACAGCAACCTCCAACTCTTGGGCTTAAATGATTCTCTTGCCTCAGCCTCCCAAGTAGCTGGGACTACAGGTGCCTGCCACAACACCTGGCTATTTTTCTTTTTTTTGCTTGTACGAAAGGGACCTTCCTAGCAATGGAAAGGGACTTTGCTCAATCCTAGGAAGACAAGTATAAAACACAAAACCCTAACAGAGGAACCAGGAAGATTCTCCTGTCAGTAAGATGGTGTCTTATTGCGTCGTACCAGCAGCATTAAAAAAAACCTGGAGGTTGGGGAAAACTTTTACAGAGTTGGTGACATTTGATCTGGACCTTGAAGAATCAGCAGGACTATGCTAGGTGAGGAAGAAGGTCATTTCATGAAGAAGTTATAGCATAAGCAAAGGCCAGGTAGCCTCACAGTGGCTGACCCATTTGAGAAGCTACCTATGTTGTCTGTCATAACTTGGCTGGGGTTGGGAGCGGTTATGGTGGGAAATAGGAAAGTTGTTAGCTAGGCATGGTGGTGCCTGTAGACCCAGCTACTTGGAAGGCTGAGGCAGGAAGATCACTTAAGCCCAGGAATTCAAGACTAGAGTGAGCTATGATCTTCCACTGTATTCTAGTCCAGGCAATAGAATGCAACCTTGTCTCTGAAAAAAAGGAAAGTTGACAGGTTTTCAAAGGCTTCGAATGCCATACCAAGTTCTTTTTTATTTTTTAAGACAGAGTCTCACTATGTTGCCCTTGGTAGTGTGCTGTGGTATCACAGCTTACAGCAACTTCCAACTCTTGAGTTTAAGCAATTCTCTTGCC